TTTTTCTTTTTTCATTTACTATTTCATTAAATAATTTTATTTTATGTATTTTATTTCCATTAGTGTGTGTCATACTCAAATAGAATTTTTTTTAAAAACTCAGACTTAAAAATTATGTCATTTATGGTCATCAGTAGTAGCTGTCATCGGCTCGTCAATCAACCATCATCAATAGATCGAACAGATGAACAGGACCGCTCGTTAATAATTGGTTGTATATTATTTTTTTATGCTATAAGTAACAAAGATTTCTTTTGAAATCAGATTACTTTAACTTTAATTTTTTAATTTTACTAAAATAACGTGTCAGAATTTTTTTTAAATATTTTAAAAATCGATAAATTTGTGTTTGTTTACAAATTTCTTAAAATTAAGAAAATGGCTGTTTTAAGAAAATTTTAAAATTTGAAATTAAATTTGACAATCAAATGTATATAGTTTCTATCTGAAATACACCAGAATTGTTTAATTAATAGAAATCGTAAATTTAATTATTAAACTTTCAATTAAAGCTAAAATGAAATCTTCAAGAATGTTTTTTCATTGTAAAAATTCATTTTAAATTAGGTATAGAAAATTTATGCCGAAATAGTAATTGAGCATAATTTAGTTAATTTAAATCCGTTTATTGGGGTTTTCATCTATAAAAGGGAATTATTTTCCCAATATAATATAAATTATTAATGAATTTTGTTGAAATTTAAACTTTGCAGTTTGTGAACAATTGCAGGATCAATTCAGATTTTAAGGTCGCAATTGTTGAGAGACAAAATTTTGACTGAACAAATGTTTTGTCAGCATAAAAAATATTACAATTGTAAGTTAAATTTAAAAGAGAAGATGAGTCAGAAATTTTTTCTTCAAAATGTATTTTGTAGAAAAATCAAAGATCTTTCAAAATTGAAATGTGAAATAGAAAAACGAAAAAATCAAAACTGGTTGAATTTTATAAAATTAAATAGAACCAATATATGGGTAAAATAGTTATTTAATATTATATGGTTTTTTAAAAATTGCAAACGTGCTTGTGTGTTGTTAATTTGGAAAAGAGCAAAGTTTTAAAAGTATTGAACGAGTCCAAAAAGGTTATTTTTAGTTCCTTTCAGAAGACTTAAGAAAGATGATTGTGCTTTGACAACCTGATTGAAAAAAAATAATAATTAGATTTTAATGAATGAAAAATTTGATTTTTTAATTTTCATATATTTAAATGTTAAATCTATCATATATTTTTTTCATCAGTAGCAGATTAGTATTTTTAAATAATGCAAATATTTATGTATTTTTATTTTTATATTTTTGCAATTTATTTTTATTTGACAGTATTAAACGTGAAAAATAGATTTTATTTAAGTTTTTTTATGTTTTTTTTTAGAGAAAGGGGGAGAAAATTTAATGAATGGCCGTTCAAAATATTTCAGTAGTGTACAAATGATGATGATTATAAGAAAATCAAACCCAAAATTTTAAGGAAAAAAATGAGACAGAAAAATAGAAGTTTTGATCAAAATTTTTAAAACAAATTTTGACGTTTTAAAATTGCATCATTGTAATTCAAAAAATTTAATACAAAAAAAAACCTTTGATTTAATGCATTTATAAAATCCAAAACAATGTATTAGAATAAAAGAAAAATTATTGGAAAAACTAAATTTAAAAGTATTTATAGAACGGAATTAATTTCCTGAAAATAATGTATTGATTTAGAATTGGAAATTTTAAAGCTAATGTTGATTGGAAATGCATTTAAAATGATATTTCCAAAAATATATTGTAGGAAACAGTTAGATAATAAATTTATACAAAACGATAAATTTTTATATTTGATTTTTAAATCAATGCAATTTTAAAATCAAACTTTTATTAAGTATTTTTTATATAACAGCATTTTTGATCGAATGTATGCTAAAATATTTTTTAGAAAAGATATATTATAATATTTACTATGGTTATGTTTTAAATATATTTGTATAAATAAATTCAAGATAAATGAGCTTATTTTAATTTATAACAAAAATTTTTTTTAATATAATTGTTTTAAATTCATTGCTGTTTTTATATTTATAATATGTAGTAAGAATTTTTTTGTTTCCAAATTGATATAATTTATTATATATATATTTGTAAAATTTATATATTTCTTTGAATCAGATTTATAGATTTATATGATATAATAATATATATTATATATATATATATATATATATATAGAATAAATATATGAAGTTGATATATACATATATATATATATATATATATATATATATATATGACGGTTACACACCTGGCCCAGGGTCGGATCCTTTGGTTACGGCGCCAACGGTGACGTCGCTCCTCCTGGTCGTTCCTCCTGGGTCCAAGCGTGCTGCTCCAACCCTTTGGTCAGATGATCACCAGCCTCGCCTTTCCCGACTCGCTTCCAATACCTGGTCACTAAAGCAACTATACCGATCTCCGGTCTGTCTACCCACGCTGTGTTTAGATCTTAGACAGACGGGACCAGCAGGGATTGGGGCCGATACAAGTTGAGTCCGACGGGGTGGCAAACACAAAAAAAAAAAAAAAACTCACGACACAAACAAAATTGCTGAAAAAAAGGGTAACAACCTTTTTATATCTTAATGTCCGTTACATAAAACAAAATTGTTCTCATTTCCGACCCGCTCTGTGGACTATGGCACCAAGTTTTCTATCACACAATATAAAGATGTCGAATTGCCTACCCTTTAGAATTATGTATGTCGGAGTGTGGTTTAGTTCGACACTGGGGCTAATTTCTATCGATCATTCGCAGTTGATTCTTCTCTCCGACTCCGACTTGAGTTGTATTTCTTCTTCTTCGTCTGTTTAGGCTGGTAGTTTTCTTGTTTCAACTTGGGTTGTATTTCTTCTTCTTCGTCGACTTAGCTGCAAGTTCTCTTGTCTTCTGAGGCTGAAAATCTTTGCCTCAACTCAGCCGTCCGGGGCTGAAGTGATTTTAACTTCTCATCGACTTGAACTCTGTTGTCTGCATCTGAAATCCGGCTTTCTCAGGCTTCTCAGGCTTTCAGGCAATCTTCTTCGTCGTCTACTTGGGGTTTGAAGTTCTCCTGTCTTCGACTTGGGCTGGAAGGATTTCTTGTCTGAGGATTCTTCTTGCCCGCAAAGGGGCGAGTGAATCGGGCCTGATGGCCGCGTTCAGGCTCTATCCCTGCCCGCGGTCCAACTCTCTGCAACTCCAACTCAACTCCAACTCAACTGATTTCTGTCGACTGGGGTCCTGCTTATATTGACGCCGCAACAAACTGGGGTGGGTCTGTCGGCGTCAGGGTTTTTCGATAATTCCAAAAGCTGCATTAATTTTGTCTTTCCATTATCGCTATTGTTTTCACCCCTACTTCCTCACAGTGCCTTTGGTGGGGCGGCGCATATCCATCTCTCTTAGTCTCTCGTATGTCAGGTGACCGCTTTCGACCAATGGTTCTGATCGAGCATTTCTTTCTTTTTTTTTCCGCAGATCACGTGACCGTTTTCGACCAATCGTTCTTGATCGAGCATTTCTTTTTCCTTTTCTTTTCTGCAGTCACGTGACCGTTTTCGGACTAATGAGATCCTGAACATCCAATTGTTTTCCTTCAATCAATAGGGGCATGTGGTTATATCGTTCTTGTTTTAAAAAAACAAAATCTAAATTTTTTCCTTTTTTTGCACGTACGAAAAAATGACAAATCTTGGCTTTTCTCTCCTGGACTTTGTCAAACAGCCCGCCGCTAATTAGTCTTGACTTTAGAAAGGATCTTTTCCGCCTTCTTGGCGCCCTCCGTGAGCCAAAAGCAATTGTTTTTTTTTTACCTCTTTGTTTTTTCCTGATAGTCGAAAAATCTTAATTATCTACTTTGAAAATGTCTCCACTTTATTAACGTGGGTGTCCAATTCTTAACAGGTCAGGATCTGTATATCGTTCCACCGGTCACTCCCCTCAACCCAAAGACACTTTTTCTCTGATTAAAATTTGTTTCATTGTTCTAAAAAAAATTTTCTTTATCCAAATTGATAAGGTGTCTTTCCATGCAAATTTATATTAGATGCTTTGACCGATATCTGGCTTCCATCAAGCGGCCCGTTTTGATATCATGTCTTTTTTCCCTTTCTTTTTCTTATTATTTATAATTCTATTCTTCCAATTGTATTTTTCGAAAATCGGCCAAGAATAATTGACCTAAATCTCTTTTGACTCCTATCTCCACCCCTCAATTGGGTCATGCATCATACAACTTTTTTCTCTTCTTCTTTTTTTTTTTTTTTTTTTTTCTTTTCTTTCCTTCTTCTTCCCTTAAGATCGTCTAGTACAATCTTAGTGAGTTATTTTCAACTCAGTTATTTTCCGTTTTAAAAAAAAAAAAATCAACAACCTGTTTAGTAACCGAGTAAGAAAAAATTAAATCATATTTCTATGAATATATCTAATAATGCAAGGTGCCACATATGTATGTATATATACAGACAACAAATTTCCGTAGAAGAAAATTCCAAACATGTTTATCGAGATAGTCATCAACACCTCATAAAAACCGACCTCTGTGTTAAAAAATGAATAAAATAATTTTTTCTATGATATTTTAAACTAAAAATAAGTAATATTTGTTTAAAAACAAATATGGTCCGCTTATAGATATGCTGTCATAGCTGAGAGTACTGCTCATAAATGATTCGCTTAGTTCAGAAGTGAAAATTTTGATGAGGAATATTGAAAACTTTCCAGTATGCTTGCAGTCATTGATGACCAAATCGAAATGCTGATTAAAAATGACACGAGACATCGCGGGAATACTCCATATATCGCATATGAGAGTTGTAAAGCATTTGAAAACACTTGGATCCTTGAATCAATACTCTTTTAGGTGCCTCACGATTTACCGGAAATAAATTTATGGGCTGTATTTCGATTTTTGATTCTATGCTCAAACAGAAAAAAACACAAAACGGTTCATTTTTACAAAGAATGATCACAGGCGATGAAAATGGGTTATCTATCTATCTATCTATCTATCTATCTATCTCATGTTGTCTGTTTGTGTGTCTGTCGTGGGCGTTTTTATCTCGCATGCTCATGGGGCCGCATTTCTCACCTGATTTCGATGCGGTTTTCACCAAAAGTTTGCAAATGGCTGCCGTAAGGACATGATTGTAGCCCGATTTTTGAGTTCGGACTCAGGTTCCGAAAAAATCGATAATAAACCGATAATCGAAAAATCTGCTTACAGAAGGAATGATCGCATTTCAACCAAATTTGACACCCTCTTAGAGTCTACCATTAGAAGTGTTGAAAAGAAGTTTCATGACCAACACCCCTAAACAGCACGGAAAATCGATAAAACCCAAAACAGATACGCCCAGATTGCGCCTGAACCGCACGTCGTTTTTTTAGCGAAAACCTTAATGGATTTATGATGAGGCCATTGGGAGTTACCATGTGAAGTTTCAACTCTGAGCGCCCCCCAAACAGAATGCAAATCGACAATCGGTCAACCCTTAAAAATGTTTTTCCGGTTGGGTATTTCCTAAATGCAAATTAATTTAAGTTCACGCTATGCGACGGGAAGAAACAGGAAGGTGCGTGCAGTGGAGATGGAAGAAAACATTTGACCTCAAATTCTGAAATGGATGCAGGGCCATTGAAATTCCTTTTTTTATCCCTGCTACCAGGTCTGACTTTGCGTACAAATGAAAAATTCGACTTTGTCAACACTTTTGCTTTAATCGTTCCTATCTTACCAAAATAAGCACTTCCTTTATTCACGTCTTTACTGAAAAAAACCCCGTGATACGTGCTGAGTGAAATGGTTCCGATTTTCAGCAGTCCATTTTCCAATTCTTTAAACCTTTTCCCCAGCCCAGGCCGCATCCCAGACCTGACGAGGAGATTTTGCGGGAAAAACAGCAGGGCTTCCTCCCAATCCATTTCAAAGGTAATGCCGGCAAACGGTTAACGCATTTTTCGGAGTAGACAAACCAAACGAGCAAACGCTTCATTGCAGCTCCTTGCATTCTCATCGCCGGCATCACGTAAATTAGAAAGAAAGCTGGGTGCAGCAGGCACAATAACCCCGTTTACAACCAAGGCAGGAAGATTAAATCATGCGTGCGTGCGTGAATGCGCGCTGAAGCATCTTCCAAGAAAATCGAAAAAAGGGACTGATGCTGCAATATTTGGTATGGGAAAAGGTTTGTTCCGTAGACGAAATCCAGGACATAATTGCAGGGCGAAAGGAAAGAGAAGCACAGAGGGCCCTTTGAACATATTCAGTTTTCCCCTCCACGAACGCTTCCCAGCAATCGTCCAGCTTGCTGTGCACCTAGAAAACAACGAAGTTAGTTATTTTTCTGCGGATACAGCAATGGATGTGACTGCGCGTACCAAAGACACAACGCTTTCAACGTTCTTCAAAATTTGTCGATGGGACGAGTTTTCTCGGACTCTAATGTACCCAGACGTGTCTTCATACTACGTGTGGACAAAAAAGGACACCTGGGCTCGGAGGAAGTGCGGGGTCAACGTCGAGGGCAATCTAGGCGTCAAAAAAGACGTCACACTTGGAAGGGTATTCACGGTTCCCCCATCGCGACAGGAATATTTTTACTTGCGATTCCTTTTGCACGAAGTTAGTGGTCCAACGAGCTACAAGAACTTACGGACGGTTAATGGAGTTTTATATGACACTTTTCGTGAGGCCTGCCTCAGTCGCGGCCTTTTGGAAGACAACAGCCATTGGGATGCCATAATGGCTGAGGGAGCTCTTTCAAAATGCCCTCTGTTTGCGCCACTTCTTCACCACAATCTTACAAATGTGCGAACCCAGTGATCCCAAATCACTTTGGGACAAATACAAGGATTTTTGTCCGAAGACATACTCAGAGAAGCGCAACTACTGTGTCCAACAATGGCTCCTACATTCAACGATGACATTTACAACAGGGTGCTTATAATCATTGAGAACCTGTCTGTTGAAAGACGGGGAATCTCTCGCCGCTATTGTGCTTTCAACGCCAGATCGTGTGGCTTCCTCCAGTCCCTCATCTGAGATTGTGCCGGAGACATCCTACTCGGTTGAGGATCTCAACGCCTATGTCACAACAAATGTGCCAAAACTTCTCATAGACAAAAAGGTCCGCTTACGATGCGGTTCTTGCATCCACCAGGCAGGATACAGGATCAATTTTCTTTCAGGACGCGCCTGGGTGAACGGGGAAAACGTTCGTAACAAATGGCGAAGTGGCGCTAGAAGTAATGTCTTCAGGCATTGATGCCACATTACTACGGAGTGGGCAAACAGTGCGCTCAACGTTAAAACTTCAGCTTGACCTGATTAAGACAGAAACAGCTGTATGCAGTATAGCCAAGCAATCAGGTCTAGCGGAGGTACTCAGGCGATGTAATCTCGTCGTCTGGGATGAGGGCACTGTCAGTCCCAAAACTGCACTCAAGGCTGTAAACTGCTCTCTGAAGGATATTCGAAACTCCGATGACCTTATGGGAGTTATAACTGTCCTTCTATCCAGTGATTTTCGCCAGACCCTTCCCGTTGTACCTAAGGGGACAAGGGCCGACGTTATTCGAGCGTGCTTGAAATTGTCACAACTCAATTTTCTTGTATGGAAAGAAAGACTAGAATGGAGTTTGCTGAGCATGGAAAGGAAGACTAGAATGGAGTTTGCTGAGCATGGAAAGGAAGAATAGAATGGAGTTTGCTGAGCACTTCAGTGTACACTACATTTTCAGCTTTTTGTGAGGGTGAATAAAGGGACACATCATCGCGCCTGCCGACTCGAGAGCAGGCTACGTAAAGTTGGCCGTATGAGAAGCATCTCTCCTCTAAGTGTACACCAGTGACAGACAGTGTTTGTCCTTGGGCCTTTTTAATTGTCATAGCAAAAGAGGGTGTGAATGGGAATGGGGATCTTATGAAAAATATGAAGGGTACATCGGCAACTGATGGATACAAATGCATCCTTGGGATAAGCACTAGCTCAGCTTTACCCCGACCAGATTACGGGCTCTTTCAAAAATGCGTGCGAGAACCCTTCGTGCAGCAAAAATTCGAAAAAAAAGCTCCGGTTCGACCCTGCCATCAGCTGTCAGTTTTTGACTTCTTTTCACGCCCTGGCTGCAATTAACGTCAAATGTCGATTCAACTTCCGACATTTACGGTCTCAATTTGTAACGGAGACAGGCTTTCAAAAAATTGGTGAATCGGCTGGTACTCCGGTATTTGGGCGGATTACATTCTCAAATTTCGGGTGTTCTTTACAATTCAACCAGAAATTTCTACACGGCCTTGCATAGAATGCCGTGTGACCCCATCGTGACTCAAAAATCGATACAAACCTCCGTGTTGATCATGCCCTCAGCTTCCATTTCCCACTTCTTTAAACTTTGATCTTTCTGCCAGGCCGAATCCCAGATCCGATTTTTACATTTACGTCATTGTGTCATGCCGGAGCCCGATTTTTTATTTGGGACACAAACTTTGTAAAAAAAAAAAGATTAACTCACAGGTGATACGGATATTGGGGGGTTTAAGTTTAATGCCTCGCCTGCACTACGTTACATCTAAGCTTTTCACCTCATTTTGGACTCTGTGTAGTTGACTTCGCGTTGTTAAACACTTTTGAGCTGTTTTTTATTTTAAAAAAAAATCGGATCAATGTATGGTTTCAAAAGATGGGGGTCAAAAAACAAGGGCAACAACAATTGGCCCATGTAGTATGACCAGTCTCAATATTTCAGGAAACTGGGTTGGGTGTGAAAAAGTATTTGTTGTTAACATTCTTTTTTCATTTGGTTTTTCCAGTTACGAGTCCTTTTTTTTTAAAGCTGATCTTTTTTTGTTCATTTTGTTTAGTTCTTTTTTCGTAACAGATTTAATGTTTAGTATAGAGCTTAGAAAAAATTCGCAGTGTGAGATAGACAAGAAGTAAGGCATGTAGCAACATCAGCACGGAAAAGGGCACTCCTTTAAAGGCAAGGAAGGGCAAAAATATTTAAGTCGTTTGCTGTATGAGTCGTACGATTTTTGAATTAAGCACGGGCCAACGCCGGGCCATGCTGCTAGTTTAAAATAATGCGGAACAAAGAAGGTGCTGGTGAAAACGAAAAGACTCACTGTTGACCACTCTGAAGAAGTTTGTTTCCGAGGAAAGTGATTATTGGAAGGGCACATTGTGTATTAGGAAGTGCCTCCGTAAAATCTGACGTTGAATTCAAACAAATACTGTTCCCAAATGAACCGGTCTTCTGCCTTTTAAGGCAGAAGTCGATGAAAAGCGTTCCGGAATTTGCCAATAGGAAAGATGTCATTTTCCACCAGGGCAAAACCAGATTTCACTTCACTTTGCAAACCCAGCAGAAATTGGTACAGATTGGTTGGGATGTCCTATTAAATCTGCTGTAATCACTGACCTTTCACCTTCGGATTACCCATATTTTCATTCCTACAAAATTCTCTTAATGGGAAGAACTTCAATTTTCTGGAAGCCTGTAAAACCCATTTAGCATCTTTCTGGGTGATGACCTGGTCTAAGTTCTGGGAAGATGGAATCGAAAGTGCCTCAAATATGGCAAAATGTATTTTAAACATAATGACACATATGTGGTTGAATCTATTTATAAATATTTAAATATTGTCTTTGAAATTCACTTAAAACGAACTATTGTCCTGACCCAATAGTAGAGAACTTATCAAATGTGAAAGAAATAATTTTAGAATATGGTTGGAAATAATAGTTTTAGTTTTTTACAGATCCAGTCTTAGAAGACACCAAAAATTTAGTTATCTTCTTTTAGACATGGTGTTAATAGTAAGGACGTTTTATTTTAGACTTGTATGATATTTTCCCCTCTGTCTTTGTGCTTACTTTAAGTAAAATGCTTTTCAGAGAGTGGTTTAAAAAGTGGAACTGAATTAATATCATACCTGAAGAATTTCAACGTGTTTGGTCTACTTTAGACAGACTTGACTCTTTTTGATCCCCTAGGTACGTCATCAATAAAGTTGGTACCTTAGATTTTATTTATTTTTGATACATCAAAAAAAATGTAGTTTTGCTGCGTTTAGTGTATTTCTAAATTAACTATATGCTAGAGCTAATGTAGATGCCATTAAAGCTACCAGTTTAATAACTTTTTAATTATTAGCTGTATTTTTGGCAATTAAATTTTTATCATCTTTGTTGAGCATATATTCTTGTGTTCAACTAAATAAAATTGTTATAGTAAGGATACCTGCGTCGTGTTATAGTGTCTGACGATATTTTTTAGAATTAAAGATATTCAGCTAGTGCTTATAAATTTAATAAAAATAGGTATTCCCTACCTTTTACCTTTAAATAAAATTCAAAATTCACGCAGATTTGATAATTCGGGATTATCATTGTGAAAATTCCGATTACATTTCAATTTTCAGCTCCTTGGCCTTAAAGTGGTTCAGTAAAAACGTGTGTAGCCTAGAAATGATCTTAATTGCTTAAGTTCTAAAAACAAACGATTTTTTGTTATACTATACTGTAAGTGATAGAAAAGTTACTTCTCTTCTATCTTTCGATAAGTATTCGAATTTACCAATGCCATCACGACGAATTAAACTAAAACGTATGGACTTAGATTGTAATCAAAGTGCAAACTTGATCTATTTAAGGTAATGCAAAAACAAAGTTTCAAAGAAGAAATTGCTTATTTTCGAAATAGGTGCCAAATTTAGTTAAAGATCATTTTTTTAGATAAAAATGAAATACTCAGGGCTCAAATTGGAATAGGCAAAAACTTAACATAAAACTATGAAATAAATCCTGTTTGTTACACATGATCATGATTTTAATGAAACATATAATCAATGATTGTCATAAAAGATATAAACATCTCGATATTTAATCCACTTTAAACAAATTTTGTCTTTTGGATAAAGGCAGATAACCAAAAACCAAAAACAATTTTTTAGCGAATAGTTATCAAAAATAAAATATTTAAATGCTAAGGTATTCAAAATTTACAAATTTACCTAAACAAAGTAAATTTATCAAACCCTATAAACCTACAAAAATTGTGTATACTGAGCATATTTAGATAAAAAGTGATTAAACGCATTCGGAACGAATAAGCGTTCTGTTAAATATTAAGATTTATTGTGCAAAATACACATTTATGGCACAAGACAAATTCTGATATTCTATTCTATTTAATGATATTAACTATAATTAAAAATTGATTTTTCCATGTGATATACGTCACAATAGCTAGAAAAACAGCTTGGCTAGTATTTATGACGATTAGCCAGAGAGAGAGAGAGAGAGAGCGAAAGAGACGCTTTCATTTAGAAAATATGCATTTTCTTTTGCACAGACACGATGGAAAAGGAGAAAAGTTATCATTTGATTGTGATATGATGCATGGTCATCCAGTGACTGAGAGTAGGAGGGTCTTTTAAGCTAGTATGTGGGCACTGCTTAAAGGAACGACTCCACTGCTTGATCGGTGAAATATGAATAGTTTAGGAAAACTGTGTATAATTTTTTCCTCGAGGTGTGAATCTTGAAATTAAGTCGATTGATAAAAGATGATAAAAAATACAGATATAAGATTCTAGAAGTAATTCAATTCAAGAAAATGCTAAGGTATTTTATTTTAATGGATAAAATCCTATTAGCTTATTACTACCTAAAAATTAAACTGAAGCGTGAGCTAGTATGATCCCCTTGGATGTGTGAGCTTAAAGATTAGTCAGATAAATAGATGACTAGAGACAAATTCTAGACAAACATTTTTTAATTGAAATCTGAGTAGGTTTTTACTGAGGTCCAAACCTCAAGTTGGAATTGAGTATCAGGTGTATGATTTTCTTTGATGTGTGACTCTAAAGACTGGTAAAGCAAACGATTCTAAAAAGGGAGAAGAATCCAGAGTCCCTTTGTTTAGAATCTCAATTGACGTTCATATAGAAACCCAATCAGTGACTCACTCGGTTTATTCATGGGAATAATTAGAGGAGTCAGACATGGATTGAATTTCCACCCGAACGTCTATTTTGACGTATCTTTCTCAATTGATGTCATTATATCAGAATATTTCCAAGTGAGTACACGTGGGAAAGAGACAATAAACTGAACCCAGGAAATGTTGGTAAGTTTCTTTAAATTTACTGCTAAACATAATTCCATTGTATCAGATAGTCCAAAGAATAAGAACTACAATAGTTTAGCGATGCAGAATGAAATAATTGAAACATTCATATATATGATGAGTGTAGAAAATT